CGGTTTTGGCTTCGGCCAAGAATTTTCATTTCGGTGCATCCCTATTTATATTGTATTTATTTACAGAGGTATATTATGTCACACTTCACACTTCTCTAGTTTTTTTCGTCTGTGTGTGAAGACAGTAGCGCAAATCCATGAATGAATGTTTCGAAGTGAAATAAACTTGAAAAGGAATAAAGTTGAATGGAACTGAATTGAATTAAAGTTGAATAAACTTCAACTTTACTGTTCAGTGCACTGATGTCAGACTCATTTTGGATAATAAAGTTTATTGTTAAATTGTTAAATGCCCTGCCTCCATTACGTATCTCTGTCACGTCATTAGAAGTGTTTGATCACCACATTTGAGTGATCATTGCAAAAAATGATTTATGTATATATATTCTGTTTATGTATATACTGTATTCTATATATAGTACCAGTCAAATGTTTGGACACACAAATGGGAAATTGTCCAAACTTTTGACTGGTACTGTACTATAATATACACAAAGAATATCGGCCGATATATCGATATCTGCCTTTTTTTACTCCCTAATATCGGTATCGCCCCGAAAAACCCATATCGGTCGGGCTCTAGTAACAACTCTACAAAAACGACTCGGATAGGGAGAAAGCTCGTTTTTAATATTAGCCTATAAATAAGGCAGTATAAGCGCATATGAACGCAGCCATACACAGGACGAGTTTACTGTAGTAGCGTACACACACACATGGAGAGCGCAAGAAGACTGCGCAGATGAATGAAACAGATCGCTGCATTTGTGCCAGTCACGACAAAAATAACGTGCGTGCTTGTTGTGATTATTACTGTACTCTGCAGGCAGTGCGATAACACAATCCTTGAAATGTTTGTCATTTAGTTTATCAGTGAATCTTCAGCAAGAGCTGAAGCTGATTTATTCAATCAGATAAAAACAGGATGTTCTTAAGAACATTTGTGACCCTGGAGCACAAAAGCAGTCTTAAGTCGCTGGGGTATATTTGTAGCAATAGCCAACAATACATTGTATGGGTCAAAATTATAGATTTTTCTTTTATGCCAAAAATCATTAGGATATTAAGATAAAAAGATCATGTTCCATGAAGATATTTAGTAAATTTCCTAACATAAATTAGGGCTGGGCGATATGGCCAAAAAGATCGATTTTTTTTTTTCATATCAGTCGATATTGATAATTATCACGATAAATGTTACATTTTTATTTCTTTCAAGTTAAAAGGCAGATTTTTGCTCCAATGTGAAAGTTGTAAAAACCAGACGGTTAATTGTGGTTTTCAACTATTCTTTATGGTCAGAACACGACAAACACTTTTTTGAATGTTTTTTTCACGTTTCTGAATTCTTTACACTTCTCCAGTCATTAACAAAATAAATATCTTAATAGAAAAAAATTATGTCTTAGTTCTGCATGTTCTAGTAATGAGTAATATTGTTTCAAATCAAGAAACAAGTTTGTGTTGCCTGATAATATTAATTACATTTTAATTAACATTTTTTTGTCTCAGAAAGCATTTATAAATGTATAAACGCTATAGCTTAATCACAAAAAATACTAATTATATTCCATTACTCCTCCTTCAATACATTTAATACATGTCTACATTAATAATATATTAAAATTCGACACGAATTCCCACATTTCTGACACAATACCATGGTGCAGTTAGTGCTACTACAGTAAATCCATAGTAAATGATGGCGATTTGTAGATTAAAAAGTCTTCTGACTGTCTCATTGCACACATTGTTTCTTGCTGTTTGTCAGCGCTTTCATTCGGCTTTAAACAGTTATTGTGTTCCTCGCTGAACTCAAGCGCTTCACACTGGATCTCACAGCGCTGTTCAGTGTCGCGTCAGCGAGTAAACACATCTGCTCTTGTGAAGCTCGCGCCGCTGTTTGAACTTTGATCCAAACGGATAAACGCTCTGAGTGGCGCGCAAATGACTAGCGCTCTTTCGTTCCGCCTTTGCCGCATTATATCAAACATTTATCGAACTCTTGTTATCGTTTATCGAGGAAATCTATATCGTGCGATAATTATCATTAACGATTTATCGCCCAGCCCTACCGTAAATATATCAGAACTTAATTTTTGGTTAGTAATATGCATTGCTAAGAACTTAATTTGGACAACTTTAAAGGTGATTTTCTCAATATTTAGATTTTTAAGACTGGTTTTGTGCTCCAGGGTCACATATTTAAGAACTTTTTAAGAATTGCACTTAGGAACATTCTTACGAACGTCTTTGAATTTATCTGAAGAAACGTATTTCTTAAGAAGGTTTTCGTGCATGCGGCCGGTTTCTGTGTTTCTGTGAGGCATGGGCTTGCCTTGGTCAGGGCTCCGGGGTGGAAGGTCCAGCGGATGTTGTTACTGTACTGGACTCGCACGTCCCCGCGGTCCGTTATTCTGTGCACGGTGCCGATTCTGGAGATGTACTGCCAACACAGTCAAACACAAGCACTGACAACAACTTCAGAAGCACTTCACAAAATAAGACTGAGACTGATAAGATTACTTTTTCCCCAAAAAACAGCTGAAAAGTTTAAGATCGCATCAAACTGAAAATGTGAAAAATGGAATGAAGTTCCTGATGAAATCTTGCACAGGACGATCAGGAACATTAACTAAGAAGAAAATACAACTGATTTTTCACCTCTGCCATTTTTGGGTTCCAGCCGCCGTGACCCTCCTGCATCTGTCTGAGGATCTCCATTTCCAACAGACACTTGACCTTATCACCCTGCTGGAACGAGTGACTGTCTGCACTCTCCTGCCGCTGCAGCTCCGCATGCTCGCCTACACACACACACACACACACACACGCACGCACAGACACACAGACAGACACATACACATACACATACGCACACACGCACGCACACACACACACAGACACACACATACACATACACATACACAGACATACATGCACACACATTTTGCTTTGATAT